GCAGGAATGACAAAAACAACGTTGCTTAGATACGCCAAAAATATAATCGGAAGAATGACGTTTACGATGGCGTACCGTGGCTTTCTTTCTATAGTTATGTATACAGTAAGCTCTGAAAAGAACGTAAACAAAGACACATTGATATGTGAATCAACCAATTTCCAGCCCCCATTTTCTAAGAAAAAATCTTGACCTACTTTCGTGTTTTCCACTTTTACAAGGACTTCGTCTGGTCTATGGCCGTTCGGTGTAAAACTTAATTGACAGGTATGAATATCATAAGGGTAAAATGTAACGTCGACATCGCACGCGCTTGAAAATAACTTCCCTGGATTATAGCTAACATACCCGTTGGATAAAAAGCGTATTTTCTGTTCGTCGGCTGCGATAGGTTCTATTCCACCGACACTGTTGGCTAAAGTAAGATCCGGTTTCCAGAAAGGACCAGACGCCGTAAGGAGAGAGTCTAACCCCCCGTATTCAGCCGGATTCCATCTCATTTCTTCATCTATCCAAGTAAGCGTAGGAAGACCAATAAACGAAAATTTCTGTTTTACTTCATCAAACTCTTGAATGTAAATGATTTCTAAAGTATAGCTCACTACCGTTGGTTTTGATTGGTCGAACGTTGGTCTCGTATTTTTATTATAGTCTGCAAGTTTGTCTCTTAGCAGCCTGTTTGTATCTCTTATTGTGTGACACGCAATGCAGCACATAAATAATGACGTCAGACATGACGTTAATACGAAGATCAGCATCTCTGTATGAAGATAATGACGATTCTTTTCACTTAGATAAATGTATTTTGTCACTTTTTAACTCTGTTAAATTATTACATAAATATTAAGGTTACATAAACTGAAAACAAGCTTCAAAACACAACATATACTTTCTTAAAGTGGTAGAAATGTGGATATAACTTTCGAAACAGATGAAATAATATCTTAATAATATACCTAAATGTCATTTGTCAGTATTTGAAAACTTGGATTACATCTCGTCATTTTATGGACCAAAAGCGGTGCCATTTTAAAAGCTAACTGGTAATACTTTAATGTCGGAAAACTATTATTCGTGAAATATTATAAGCCTTTTTTTAACAAGTAATCATTATCATTATTCGTTGTTTTTCGGACATATTCTGGTCAGTCTTAAAAAGATTCAATAAAAAGCTTACCTTTAACAGCAGAACTTTCGTGGAATTTGATCTTTAATTATTTATTATACATTACTAAGCAATGTGAATAAGAATCTCGGCATCAGCTGGTTTGTATGCAGGTATTCTCGACTATCTATCTACAACGAATTTAATATACATATATACAAGTACTTATATACTAGTTGGTTATACTAAAATCAATACATGAAAGTAATGTGTTATATTACTGACACTTTCTAAAGCCCAATACAGTATTCATTATTATGTCTACCAACTGACAAATACCACAGACAAACGCAAGACCCACCATGACAATAGAAACCTTTTCTTTTTTAATTTGTCCAGCTATTAGCCTTCTTCAAATATTTACACAGTAGAGTTCATAAACTCGTAAAATTACAAAACACTTTAGTAGATAATGTATGCTTTTAAGGATACACTTAGTTCATCAATCGATTTACTTTACTAGTCACACTGACAATGAAAATAATTTTGAAAGTATTAATGTACCGGAAAACATCTGTATATCTCGATTGCGCTGTTTCAGACTAAACGGTTTACCAATTTGTACAAATGCATTCTATTTGAAAAATATGGTACTTTGTAATAAGCATAAAAATTAATAATGTTTCAATGTCAGTCCGGTATAAACAGTCATACATGCATATACCATTCCAATCCTTGAAAATGAAATCATCATACAAAGTCTTAGCTCATGTTACAACAGATTTGCTGCTTTTTTGAATTACACAGTTTCGTGATCAGGTATATTTCATAATTTTTTGTATTACACAAATCTTTTTTTCTGTTGAAAAAAAATTTCATTTTTACAAGTATTGTATTTTAGATGTTTGCTTAGGTTACAAAGAGACATAGACATGTAGAATATTGAAAAATAAACATAACCTAAATTTATTTCAGAGTATGATTACAGAATAATTGTATGAACATTTTCAATCTTCCGTACGTCGATATGTAATATACTTGATCATTTTCCTGTTCTAGTTTGTAGACAAATATACAAGCTGGCCATTATCGAATTATATCTGCAAGATTTTCAATGGGATATGAAATGATTTTTGCTGACAGAAACTCCATTACAAATAGGAGATACAAGCAAACTTATCCATGATTAATATAAGAACATTGGAGAAGTTATACAAATTGTAAAGAACATCAATAATCATATTAATTTGAATTTTAAAAGATTCATAAAGATGAAAATACATGTTTGTGTTATACAAACATAATGTAAAGACCCGCTAAATGTTAACGTTACACTATAGGCGCGTCTACGAAAGATGATTTTATTTCATATCAGATTTATCATACAATACAGAAAATGGTACGGAGCTTACTTTCATAACTTCAGTATCAAAATAAAAATTGCGATTTAAGTTAAGATTATTTAGCAGTTCCTTTCTAATCCGAATTAAATACTTATAATTGTACCGTTGAACAGGAATTAAAATATCGGCGTAATAATCAAGATAATATAATCCGCGGCATTTTAATTATGATTTACACAGATTACATGCGCAGTTAGTGTGTGTGTGTGTGTGCGTGTGTGCGCGCGTGCTTGTGTGCACACACACACACGTAGTAAGTGTCTAATGTTTTATTGTAATACATTATCTAAATAGCCTTTAATCATATGTTTTGTATAATAATATTTTATTTTATGATATTTTATATAATATGATTTTCATACTTATATTTGTTTTATTTAGTATATTCATGATGGATTATTATGATGCTTTTCTATAAGATAATCACAATATTTAACGGAGAGACCTATGGAAAAGACAATTTCAAAATGATAATACTATGATATAACCATTCGTAAAAAATGGCCTACTGAATTTTTGTCTATAGATTTATTAAGAGTGCAATTAATTGTTTGAATATGTTTGCATTTCATTTCCTGCAAAGTTCTCCAGTTCGTTATTTATTACCATAGCGCGACACGGATGACCGTTCCGTTAAACTAAAACTTCTTCTATAAATAGATTTTCGGACTTTCACAATGTTAAGGTCATCATTCAATTTATAGGTACAGCAGTAACATACATAATAACCCACATGATTAAAAAAACCAATTAGCGTGATTAATTGACGGATAAGATAATTTCATTTGAATATATTTGCATTGCGAAATTCTCCATATCGCTATTCATTGTACATATCGCGACATTTCATTTTTGATAATCAAACACCCTCATGTCAATCGGAATGATCGGCTTTTATGACAGATGAAAAGGCCCGGAAAGTTGCAATTGCCCTTTCACAAAATATATTTTTTATTCCATAAAGGGCCTCGCGCAACAATTAACAAAATATGTAATTGCCTTCTAGTGTATCGTTCATATACTCTATAAAATGTTCATTAATCTTTAAATAGGTTTCGTCGTAGGTTGTCCATTTTTTAGTTTGACTTTCTGTGAATTTCAAAGGGGGGGGGAGTACTGACGTAGGATATTTATTGGTCATTTTGCAATACATTTTTTTTTGCATTTAACTTAATCAATGAATTTCCTCAATATCTTCAGATATGTTTAGTTTTAGTACATCTACTTGACGCTTGGCTATAGCAAACATCTAAGCCTACTTACTCTTTCAGGATCTTCCATAGTAGGTGTTCTCTACGATAACCTAACATCAAATAAACCTTGCTTTTACGTATGCACAGACGTGGACGTTCGTTTACATTTAGCCGCGCGTTTTTCGTGCTTGAAGACCGTTCAGCGGTCGTTGAAATGAGTCGATAATGAGTCGCCATTGAGTCGTTCACTGCAAAGCAAACGATTAGTAACAACCAAGTAGCGATTGAGTAACAACTGGCTAACGACAGCAGAACGTGTGCAACGCTCGGCGAAAGTTAGTTTAACGTTCCATGAACATTCTTAAACGTTTTTCAGCGTTTGAGATTGAAACGTTGAAGAAAGCTGGTCTGAGTGAGAACTTTTGTGCATGTTCAAAACTTTTTCCGAACCAGCGTTCTACGCCGATTCCCGGCGATTACTGACGGTCACTGACGTTCACACAACGTTCTTCTGGCGCTATTCCAGCAACCATGTGCGACAACCAACGTTTCTTAAAACGTCGTAGAACGATGACCAGAACGTCATGCTGTGACGGGCCCATTAGGTAATCTAGACTTCTAAAGCCGAGGTCAAAACAGAACAAAACGTCCATGAGCATTACCGCTTGATATATCTATCCCGGGAAAACACCTTTTTTATAAATATTCCAAAGTATTTCGTCTTATGAAAACAGAACTGAAGTCAGAATTTTTACTACTACACAACAAAATATTTCATCAAATCATTGTCAATTAACTTGATTAAAAAACATACTAGACAATCAAATAAAAATTACAAGCTATTGTTTTGACTGGAGTCATAAAGAAATGGAAATAATTAAGCAAAAATGACTTTCAGAGTTATAGGCCTTTAGCAGTCATATTTTGATATTGAACAGGTATTCACAGTTTAAAATGAATATGTGTGTTAGATTTTGAGAAATATATTATGCGAAATGTTAATAAGTTAACCGAGAAAAACAAGAAAAACAATATCGAAAATGAGCATGAGCATAACTGGGCTAAAAGGAATCATAACGGTGACTGTTCTTTTAAAATTCGTTTCAGTTTTTATAATAAAAGTTTAAAGCAAACACTTTTCATATTTATCTTTGGGGAAAATATCTTTAGTCGAAAAGGGAGAATTACATTACAAAAATAGTTACAAACTTATCTACACTTTTAAAAAAAAGTGTCAGATATTAATAGTAAGCATGCATAAAAAGTTCGAAGTGAATAATTCTGATCCCAATTACTTGTTATTGTAACTAGATTGTGTTTACAGATACCAGTTCACAATCGTAACAGATGATTTTTATCACAAACGTTTGCGCTCGCAAACAATAATCAGAACATAAAAGATTGTTGCTGCTGAAAAAATAATAAAGAAACCTACAAAAAAGAGTTTATCCAAGGCAACGCTAACATCTTTCCATGTCAATGTTTTGTCGCTTTCATGTCTGCGAATTCCTCTGATTCCTTTTTCTGTGCCTTCTAGGTTAAATTGTTGTCTATCACTTAGACGCTTTTGCTGTTTAGAGCTAGGTAAATATAAATTATGTACAGACCTATTTCTATCATAATGCATATTTTCACGGTTACTTAAATTTTGAATACCTATTTTCACGTTTGTATTTTCAACTTCATTTTTCTTACGTTTCGTCTTCCTGCAAATTAAACAAGATGTGATCTTTTCCCAACACCCTGTAACTGGGTCGGATGTAGTGTAATGGTAAATCCGCAGGTTGAAAATTGTTGCCAGGGTTATACAAATGCTTGTTATTAACAAAGCAAGTAGATAGTAACTGAAGTATGCCATTGGAAAAGACGTTTTAGGTAAATTATCACCAACGATTGTTAGATATACGGCAATTGCAAGTAAAACAGTTATACTGTACGATATCCTTTCACCACATTCAGCAGGAATGACAAAAACAACGTTGTTTAGATACGCCAAAAATATAATCGGAAGAATGACATTGACGATGGCGTACCGTGGCTTTCTTTCTATAGTTATGTATACAGTAAGCTCTGAATAGAACGTAAACAAAGACACATTGATATGTGAATCAATCAATTTCCAGTCCCCATTTTCTAAGAAAAACTTTTGACCTACTTTCGTGTTTTCCACATTAATAAGGACTTCGTCCGGTCTATGGCCGTGCGGTGTAAAAATTATGTGACAGGTATGAATATCAAAAGGGTAAAATGTTACGTCAACATCGCATGCGCTTGAAAATAACTTCCCTGGTTTATAGCTAACATACCCGTTGGGTAAAAAGCGTATTTTCTGTTCTTCATCTGAAATAGGTTCTAATCCACCGACACTGTTGGCTAAAGTAAGATCCGGTTTCCAGAAAGGACCAGACGCCGTAAGAAGAGAGTCTAATCCCCCGTATTCAGCCGGATTCCATCTCATTTCTTCATCTATCCAAGAAAGCCTAGGAAGACCATTAAACGAAAATTTCTGTTTTACTTCATCAAACTCTTGAATGTAAATGATTTCTAATCTATAGTTCACTACTGTTTGTTTTGATTGGTCGAACGTTGGTCTCGTATTTTTATTATAGTCTGCAAGTTTGTCTCTTAGCAGCCTGTTTGTATCTCTTATTGTGTGACACACAATGCAGCACATAAGTAATGACGTCAGACATGACGTAAATACGAAGATCAGCATCTCTGTATGAAGATAATGACGATTCTTTTCACTTAAATAAATGTATTTTGTCACTTTTTATCTCTGTTAAATTATTACATAGATATTAAGGTTACATTAATTGAAAACAAGCTACAAAACACAACATCTACTTTCTTTAAGTGGTAGAAATTACAGATTTAACTTTCGAAACAGATGAAATAATATCCTAATAATATACCTAAAATCATTTGTCAGCATTTGAAAACTTGGATTAATTCTCATCATTTTATGGACCAAAAAGAGGTGCCATTTTAAAAGCTAACTGTTAACACTTAATTGTCGGAAGATTATTATTCGTGAAATATTATAAGCCTTTTTAACAAGTAATTATTATCATTACTTATGTGTTTCTGACAAATTCTGGTCAGTCTTAAAAAGATTCAATAAAAAGCTTACCTTTAACAGCAGAACGTTCGTGGAATTTGATCTTTAGTTATTTCTTATACATTACTAAGCAATGTGAATAAGAATCTCGGCATCAGCTGGTTTGTATTCAGGCTACAGGGAATTTAATATACAGATATACAAGTACTTATATACTGGTTGGTTATACTAAAATCAATATATGAAAGTAATGTGTTATATTACTGACACTTTCTAAAGCCCAATACAGTATTCATTATTATGTCTACCAACTGACAAATACCACTGACAAACGCAAGACCCACCATGACAATAGAAACCTTTTCTTTTTTAATTTGTCCAGCTATTAGCCTTCTTCAAATATTTACACAGTAGAGTTCATAAACTCGTAAAATTACAAAACACTTTAGTAGATAATGTATGCTTTTAAGGATACACTTAGTTCATCAATCGATTTACTTTACTAGTCACACTGACAATGAAAATAATTTTGAAAGTATTAATGTACCGGAAAACATCTGTATATCTCGATTGCGCTGTTTCAGACTATATGGTTTAACAATTTGTACAAATGCATTCTATTTGAAAAATATGGTACTTTGTAATAAGCATAAAAATTAATAATGTTTCAATGTCAGTCCGGTTTAAACAGTCATACATGCATATACCATTCCAATCCTTGAAAATGAAATCATCATACAAAGTCTTAGCTCATGTTACAACAGATTTGCTGCTTTTTTGAATTACACAGTTTCGTGATCAGGTATATTTCATAATTTTTTGTATTACACAAATCTTTTTTTCTGTTGAAAAAAAATTTCATTTTTACAAGTATTGTATTTTAGATGTTTGCTTAGGTTACAAAGAGACATAGACATGTAGAATATTGAAAAAAAAACATAACATAAATTTTTTTATTTATGATTACAGAATAATTGTATGAACATTTTCAATCTTCTGTACGTCGATATGTAATAGACTTGATCATTTTCCTGTTCTAGTTTGTAGACAAATATACAAGCTTGCCATTATCGGTTTTTATCTGCAAGATTTTCAATGGGATATGAAATGAATTTTGCTGACAAAACACCATTACAATTCGGAGATACAAGCAAACTTATCCTTGATTAATATTAGAACATTGGAGAAGTTATACAAATGGTTAAGAACGTCAAGAATATATTTAATAAAATATTCATCAAGATAAAAATTCTAAGAAAATAAAAATGACTCTTCATTTCGTGGGAATTTATATGAACTTTAATCATCTTTATATTTATTCAAATCATGGGCAACCGAAATATGGGCATCTAAAATACGTGTTAAACAACAGTTTGGTCATACATCATGAGAAGTGAAGCTTTACCAATTGTCAGTTGTAACAATGTTCATGTTTATCATTTTATTTATTTTTGCACTCACTTTGAAATGATAAATAAAGTACAAATCTTTATACGGTTATTGTCCTTTTAAAAGTTGTTGCAATTGGTCTGTAATAACACACCTTTACCGATTTTACGACGCCGTATGGTATTGCAAGAGCGTGAATGTATTTTGACATACTGTTCTTTCCGTTATACAAACATAAGGTAAAGACCCGCTAAACGTTACACTATAGGCGCGTCTACGAAAGATGATTTTTTCACTTAAGATTTATCATACATGACAGAAAATGGTACGGAGATAACTCATAACTTCAGTATCAAAATAAAAATTGCGATTCAAGTAAAGATAATTTAGCAGTTCCTTTCTTATCCGAATTAAAGAATAATAATAGTTTCCGTTAAACAAGAATTAAAATATCGGCGTAATAATTAAGATAATGTAATCCGCGGCATCTAAATTATGATTTACACAGATTACCTGGCAGTAAGTGATCGCGTGCGTACTAATACTATGATATAACAATTCGTATAATGGCTTACTTGATTTTTTCTATAGATTTATTAAGAGTGCAAATAATTGTTTGAAAATGTTTGCATTTCATTTCCTGACCATTCCGTTAAACTAAAACTTCTTTTATAAATAGATTTTCGGACTTTCACAATGTAAAGGTCATCATTCAATTTAAAGGTACAGCAGTAACATATATAAGAATCCACATGATTAAAAAAAACAAATAGCGTGATTAATTTACGGATAGGATAATTTCATTTGAATATATTTGCATTGCGAAATTCTCCAGTTCGCTATTCATTGTACATATAGCAACATTTCATTTTTGATAATCAAACACCCACATGTCAATCGGAATGAACGGCTTTTATGACAGACGAAGAGGCCCGGAAAGATGCAATTGCCCTTTCACAAAATCTATTTCTATTCCATAAAGGGCGTCGCGCGTCGGTGCGGACGCCAACAATTTACAAAATATGTAATTGTCTTCTTGTGCATCGTTCATATACTCTATAAAATGTTCATTAATCTTTAAAAAGGTTTTGTCGTGGGTTGTCCATTTTTAAGTTTGACTCTCTGTGAATTTCAAAGGGGGGAAGTACTGACGTAGGATATTTATTGGTCATTTTGCAATACATTTTCTTGTATTTAACTTAATCTTGGGACTCTCATTGACCACTTTAAAATTAGTCAAACTTAATTCAGGTGTTTTTTCAACGCAACTCATATAATAATGTGTTATGAGTTTTAGGAATCAAACATTCTAATTTCATCACGTTGCAATTTAATGGTTACGTCAAATGTCTAAAAGAAGATTTATTGCATATTTATTTACACTTTCGGTCCGTCTATGTTCAATAGGGAAAATACATATCATGGAAGAATGTTAAACAATGCTTAGTGTATGTCTAATTAAATGGAGTAAGGACTCCATAAGTGTTCCTTAGGTCGGATTATATTCGACCTATTTAGTATGTTTGAATAAGTATTTAATAACTTTACCAAACGAAGGCTTTGTTTCAACAAGTAAAAATGCTCATTAATCGGTTGTTTTATAAGCAGTTAGAAAAAAGAAACATTTTCGTTAAGAGATTGTTTGTAGTCTCCCAGTGTTTTTGTTAAAGTGTATAATTTAAAAGCTGTATACATGTATCTGCTGCAGAAAAGTCTGAACTTTGTAAAATGATAAATCCTTATGAATTATATAAAAGTAATATGTTTGTATATTTTCTTAATTAACGTTAACTGCTGTTCACAATAAAATAAAACGCTAAGGAAGTTATATCTGCTTTCGCGCGTTTTTTTTAATATAAACAATAATCATATAGATATACTTTAGTAGCCTGATTTTATTGACCTGTCAATTATGAATACATTATAGCACATATTTAAATATTCCAGCTTGAAACCAGGAAATATCTTTAACAATGTTTTTATTGATATAAGATTGTATAGATTGGAGTCATTTGTAAAGTTTAAATATCAAAGTTTCATAAACGTTTTCACAATCATGTTATAATAAAAGTTTGGTTCATTCAATATGACTGATTTATCATTATGTACTACATACTAGTAATATGTTATAATTTGTTAACCCTTTTTCTAAATACATGGAATAATAAATATAACGTATGGTGCAAATAGTTTACCTATGGAAACAACTATCGTGACCATGACTAGTTTTGTTTCTTGTTTCATTTCGATTTCTAAAGGGTTCCTCACACCATAACATTCTGGTCAACGCTCTCTGAACATTTCAGTCGTTCAAGTTTTGAAGGGTCTTGAATGAGGTTGCCACATATATCGTGTGATTAACGTGCTTCTAGCGCAAAACTAGCATGTGTCTAACGCATGGGAAACTTGTAACAGCAACCATGTAAGATACGTCGAAAACACATAAGCGTGTGCTAATGTGCAACTGGCGCGGGGCGAATTATTTGTCAACGCCTGACGAGAGTATTGAGCGGCGTGTGACTAATGCGTGGATAACGACAGAATAGCGTCTTGATGGCGTGATACTTTTAGGGCTTAGAAGGCACAGAACGCTGGAAGTTTCTTAGTGAATTCAGTTTCCTTATGAGTTTGAATAGTTACCATCACGACGCCAAGAAACAAAGATTGGGGTGAGGGTTCCTACTATCTACATCTGTATTTCCAAATCCTTTCTGTCTTATATCCACGATTTAGTCCAACACTGTCGTCTTCGTCTGGGTCTTCTTCTCTATGGAATAGTGTCTACGCCGATTCCCGGCGATTACTACGGGTTTCCCTTTACTGGGGGCACACAAGTTCTTTGGCACACTCAGCAACCATGGGGGACTACCCAAAGTTTTTTTAAAGCGTCGTAGAACGCTGACCAGAACGTCATGGTGTGACGGGCCCATAAGGTAATCTAGACTGCTAAAGCCAAGATCAAAACAGAGAAACGTCGATGAGCATTATCGCTTGATATATCTACCCCAGAAAAACACACTTTTTATAAATATTCCAAAGTAGTCCGTCTCATGCAAAAAACTGAAGTCAGAAGAAATATGGTTCGGTTTTTACCACTACACAACACAATATTTCATCAAATCATTGTCAATTTGATTAAAAAACTAGATTTTTACATTTTTTATCAAAATAAAAATTACAAACTATTGTTTTGACTTGAGTCATAAAGAAATCGAAATGATAAGAGTTATAGGCATATCTTTTGATAGTGAAGAGGTAGGTATTCA